AAGGTTGCCGTCAAGTCGTGTATATGAGGCAACGGGTAGCAATCAGGGGTTGTTTTGGCATTCACTCGCCGGTAATCACCGGTGGGTCGCCAATCATTGCTATCCTTTTTCGGAACCATATGAAGTGGGGATGCCCATGGGCTATTCGAAGGTCGAATGATGCCAAGGGTAAGCATATGGTCAAATTCATTCCTGGCGATTCTCAGTTTGTCAGGAGCTAATCGTCGTGCTTTAGATGTCACAGGTTGTCCTGTGGTAATGATGTGGTGCATAACATTGCTGGTTATGCACGGTAGGTCGTTCGACGGGCAATTAAGTTCCGGATACTTGTCAACATAGGTTGAAAAGTTGGATCAGGATTGCCTTTATCTTAACGGGTGACAAACTAGGGCCTATGTAGCTGATGCCTTTGATAGACAGACTAGTAGTATTGTCAATCAGTCGTTTTCGGCGGACGTCTACGAGTAAATCATGATGATTAAGTAGGTCCGTGCCAATGATGGGCATTGTAACGTCAGCGAGAAGGAAAATCCACCGAATAGGTTTGCGTAAACCTACGTTCAGATAGACGTATTTCCTACCAAAGGTTGCGATTGGTTTTCCATTTGCAGCCTGTAAGTTGAAGGTAGGTTCCTTCTGTCGATCTGCTGCTGTAGCAGGAAGGACGCTGACTTCGGCGCCTGTGTCGACTAAGTATCGAGTCTGGCTTATCACATCATGGATGTAAAGTAGGCGGCTAGTGCCACCGGCGACGGTTGCCGCTAACGCGTGCCGGCGGGATAGTTTCCCAAGACTTTGAGACATTTCCGAAGTTACAAGGCTTACGGCAACACTTCGCTTCTTGGCCATAGGTGTTGTGGTACCAGCACCAGTCAGGGTTTTTCAGTGAACGTGGTTTGGACTTAGATCGACCACGTGAGTTCCTGCGTTGAGGAGATTTAGGACGACGGTCGGAGGAGTTAGAATGCATGTTCGACCTAAACATCTGCTGGATGGAGTTGCATAACTCTATCATTGCAGGATCCTTACTCGAAGTCTGCTTAGTCATCGAGCATATTTCGGGAACTGACCGTTTAGTTATTTCTAGAATCCTATCTGCAGTAATAGCTAAGTCCTCTATTACAGTACCCTGAAGTGTCACAAGTACGGTCTGTACAGACTGTGGCAGCTTGGATAAGAAGAGTTCTCTAAACAGTCCTTCGTCGAACTGACTTTGGCCAAAACCTCTTTCATTCTTGTCAGCATGCTCACGGCTGACTGATCTCCTAACTCGATGTTACGAAATAATTCATCTAGACGTTGTCGGTCCGTGAGAACGTTTCTCCTGAGGAGGGATGCTTTGAGCAACTCGTACGAGTTACTTACCTCGGGACTGAACATCTGTGATGTTACGTACTTGCTGAATTCCCGCGGTAGGGCGTGAATAACTGCAAGTAACTGTGAACGTTGATCGGTTATCCCATGCTCACAAAAATCTGCTTCAGCTAGCAGAAACCACGTTTCAGCATTATCTGGCCAGTATGGTACGAGCTGAATGGTTTTAGGAGTTGAGCGGATACGGATGACCTTGGGACTAAGATCACTCATGACGAAAATTATGTCGAATAATATATGGTACAAGAACAAATACAAAATGGAACGAACTCACCGGGGTTATCTGCGGATTTATCGTGGATGAAGTTCGCGGTTGGGCTCACCAGTTTAGAGGTTGACGGATATCTCGTTCAGCAACTTCTAATTAATTTATTCTCGCGTACCAACAACAAAGCAAAAGCCAATATTTGATCGTCCAAACCAAGCGATATATTTAGGAACCAAAACAAGCCTTCAGACAAACGCTTAGCTAGCTAGTGATCGTGCACGTGACACGACGGGGTACCAAATGGCGGGGATGCTTGACCGGAAGCCTTCAGCTAAACAAGTCGACTTAAACAGTGGTGGTCAGCATCCAATAGTGAGTGATTGCTGTGGTCAATAATTTTGGGGAATTATTTACCTCTACAACTTCATTGTCCCTAAACGAAGACTGATTAGTGATTAAGCACGTTTCCTTGGCTGGCCGTTTTTTTATTTCTAGAAGTAGCCAAGTCGTCTATAATAACACCTTGGAGTGTCACAAGCACAGCTTGTACTGACTGTGGCAATTTAGATAATAACAGCTCACTGAAGAGCCCCTAATCTAACTGACGTTGGCCAATAACTTACCTAACTCGGTTAAGCACGTTCACAGACGACTGACCGCTTGACTCAACACTGTGAAATAGTCCTCCAAGAAGCTGTCAATATGATCGTTTCTCCCAAGGAGGGTAGCTTTAAGCATGACATAGGGGTTGATTACCTTTTAGGTAGACATTTGCAAAGTGAGGCATTTGCTTAATTTCCGTGGTAAGGCGTGGAAAACTTCAAGGAACTGTGAACGTGGGTCAGTTAACCCATGTTCACTGAGATCAGAGTCGGCTATCTGAAACCATACACCTCTTCGCCTAAAAAATGCTAAACTGTCACGATGGATCTAATGGCTTCGACTTACAGGCGAAACGAAAGAACGTAAAGGGTAAGTTAGCGCTTGCGGAACTGTAGCACAGTTGGGAATGAGATAACGGTATAAACTGATGGGATTCAAAAATTGTAGCAACTTCTTAAAGAAGTCGAGTAATGAATGAACTTCAATATCTCGTGCGTCATCAAGAACTGGCCTAATTCCTTAGCCGCTGTACAAACGCCAGAGGAATTTCAGTAGTTCTAACCGAATTCACATTTTGCTAATCTGATGGTCATTCCATACTAGTGAAGTCTCTTGAGTACAGTCTTCACATGTCTCAAGTGTTCAGCCTCATCTGCACTCTCAGTAAGTAAGCCTTCGATGTATGCATAAACAAAGGGAAGACCATGGAGTACCTTATCGGTTGGGCGTTGTAATAACTGGGTGGCATTCATTAGTCCAATAAGCATTCGGAGAAATTCGTATGAGCCATATAATGTGGTAGTGAAAATCTTCGGAATATCATCAGTATTGATGGGAATGTGGTGATTGGCTCTTATGAGATTGTTTTTCGAGAAAATTTTAATTTCTGGCAAACTACTGGCGGAGCTGTGTATGCGAGGTAATGAATATCTATCGTGTACTGTTTGCCTGTTTGAAGCTCGATAATTATCGCAAGTCTTCGCTTCACTAGAAGACTTTTAAGGAACCATGTAAACTGGTGAAGACCAAAATCTATCAGATGGTCGAGTGATGCCAAGCTGTAGTATCTTGCCTTAGCGATACCATGTCGGTGTTGATGAAATCGTCGAGGGCTTGAAAAGCTGGTGGCACAGTGATTTTAATATGACTTACCACGTGCTGAGTCAGTTCGGTTTCTCAAAAAGACGACTGAAGAATATCAGGTAACTGATTCACAACCTAGATATAAAGAAATGTTGGTGTTCGTTATTATAATCATCAGTTTCAAGGTTGATGCAGAGCTGACTGTAGCAGCCGTATACGCCTTATTGAGTGAGTCAATCAACTTGGAGCTTATTGGGTCTATTAGTAATCTGTGGTTCTTTAAGAAATCACTGTGAAAGTTTGGCGATGAAATATCAGCAATGACGAATGACCAACTATAAGTGTTCTGGGGACCAATATACGAAGTCATGCGTTCATGTCAATTCATACCAATATTGGACTTGTTAGTAACTTGCAGTGTTGCTGTTGTGTCATTGTGCCGATGCGTAGACAGGGGAAGACCACACACTTCTACTCTTGTGTCATTCAGAAATTTAGTGCCAGTATTTCTAACCGTTACATGAAACAAGCAGCTATTGAATTCCATTATGGGTAAATTTTGTTTTGATAAAGTCTCACAGCGTTATACAGTAATGTTTACTGATGACGTTTCGAGCACAATTTATTGCTCATAATCATATCAAGGTACCTTGAATTACACTCTACCACAGTGCACAAGTTTTATTCTTATATCAATGACAGCTATTGAATTGTTCATTGACGACGGCGGTTGTCACAAATTACGATACATCTTTTAGAGTCGTCTGGAAATCAGAAGGAAGGCAGCAACATCGTGCATCTCTTCCATAAGTCCTTTGGGACCAGAAGATATTCCACGACTTCTTGATCTGCTCAGTGCCCGAAGCGACTTCTATTAGATGAACTTCTGGAACGGATCGTTTGTCTGCGTGTCATAAGTGATGCTAACTGGAACAGTTAGACGTCAAAATTATGTTCTAAAGTCAGTCCGTATCAGGTCTGCAGTGTCCATCATTTTTTAGAGGAAGTGATGGTGTCAGATGTTGACTTTTCATGCATGTAGTCAGCTATTTTGGCGAGCTTATCGATATTAATAGTTGTTGAATGTTCGCAGTTAGTCATTGTAGTTGGATTTGACAAAGCAGTCGTTTCTAGATTTTTCTACGTGCTATGAAGCTTTGTGAGTACCTTATGAGCTGGGACGGTGCCTTATCACCTAACTTGACATTGCTTAACAAGCAATCTATTGACTGTCTATCAGACAGTGACGTTCAGCGTAGGACCTCTTCTTTCACTTTATCGTACGAGTATTCCATGCTAGGAAGAACAATATATTGGCGCATTTGTTCAGCTACCTGGTCTAGTAGCACAGGATTCAAAATGACAAATTTAACGTTATGTGAAGGTGGCTTAACGACAGTGAAGTAGTGCTCCGCTTGAGAACATCAGATATCGGGATCTCTAGGTTTAAAAATGGCAAGTGCTAAAGGCGCCGTGCGGGTAACCTCCGAGGATACAGACTTGCAGTCTACGACCAAAGTGAAAACAAAGCCAAACGGTTCCAATGTTGAATAGGTGAAAGATTATTGTTCTTGGAATATGAGGTTATCAGGCGTGAGAACACCAAGAACACAATGGTCGAACCCAAAATTAGCTCGCAGTTAACAAAAATGTCAATTCAAACAAGAAATGAACTAGTGTACAATCAAGCACAAACCGTTTAATTAACACAAAATGCAAAATAATATATGAGGTACAACTTTAATAATCATGGGCGGGAATATTAGACGTAACAGTAAGAGCAATAGCACTAGCGGATCCCAGCTTGCAGTTATCAGAACTATTGTAAGATATATAAGAATTTGTGGAAAAGGGGTTTCAAAAGCACAAAATAGTAAAATGGATACAAGGTGAAAATATCAGAATACAAAACAGAATAATGATGTTTACCACAAAAAACGTGAAACGTGTAGTGTATTGCGCAACACGAATTGTAATAATTCATTAAATGAATAGAAAACGCATGTATAATAATAATCCACTAAAGGTGAATATCAAACTTTAACCGATTATCATTATTATTATACAACTGTTTTACATTCATTCAAGTGTTCAAATTCTTTGATTATGCTTTAATTAGCTTGGGATGCTGCGACCAGGTAGATACAATAATCCACAGATACAGTACTTAAGACTAAATCTACTTATTGATTGATGATTAGTTAACATTTAGTAAACCGAATTAGAACAAAAAGTGGATAATCTAAAACACGAAATATGCTTCTGAATCAATTCCGTGTAGCTGAGAAGTGTACTCATCATGCCGAAAGAATACAATCACGTTCTAAGCGGCATCAGTGCTTAACGGCATACCTACAGATTTATCAGTTCAGTAATGACAGTAAGTGACGATGAAGTCGTAGACCCTCCAATCCACAGGATTACTTAACACTATATATACACTTCACAGTAGAAGGATAAACCTTACTGATAAATAGAAAACTGAACCGTTTACCCACAATTATTACCTGAAGAGCTGGTTTCATTCTCATATAACCATCTCTATGTGCTAAGTTACTTCATTGTACTTATAATTAGATACTACATTTTTTAGAGCTTTCAGGGAAAAATTCGGAGTCAATGTAAATAATTTTTACTTAATTTAAACCGTATTATGTCGTTTTTAGAACTCAAAACACAAACATGCAGTTACTCAAGCGATAGCAATGTTAGATTATTGTATCACACAATTATGTAAAAAAATGACGACAAGAATTGTTAAGGAGATTTTTTTTAGGTTAATGCATAATATACCATTCAGTAGCACACAACTGTATGCAGAGAAGTTCATCAATTTTAGGAATACTGGAAAAGTTAGTTAGGAGACATTTAAGTCAATAAGTACGATGCCTTTCATAACGATTAGATTGGAGTAAAATCCCAATGGTTAGTTACTAGGGAGTACACTGTATCAAGTTATCTGACCCTTAGTGGTGACTGAGTTTTATCGGTTCGGTTGAATTAAACTCTAATTATCAAAATATGCGAATTCACTAAATAAAATAAGTGTTCAGAGTTCAACAAAGTTGTTTATCATAGGGAAGAGAAACGTAGCTCAACGTCGATTGATAAAAATTCATTGGTTACCTAATGACCTTTTGAATTAGCTTCATTCAGCAATTTATTTATATTAAAATTATTTACTTCAATTTACCAAATGTAGAAAAAGATGGATAATATATGCGTTGATGGGATGTTGTTTTGTATCCTGATATCAGTTCAGTATGAGTATATTTACGCAAGGCAGTCATCACATTTAGACCTACTGTCAACCAGATCGACTGGTAGGTCACCGCTTAGTACCAGTTCAGTTTAGTCTTATCGATCAGATAGCCACTTAGTGTGCAACAAATTGTAACAGTCAATTCGATCAGTTACAACATTAAATATACTGTCTTATAATAAAAATGACCAGATTATTAGGAATCCCTTTTAGTCTTAGGAAGCAGAAGTATTATTTTTGTAGTAGGACTGCTAATAACACATTTTTAAAAATATTTCTCTGCGCTACGATGAAACGTAAAAAGAGTATTCAGGAGATGCATAGAATCATTTAGCTGTGACAAATCTGCAATAGAAATTATGAGTACTGTAGGAGTACATGACTGTCTGTTAATTAACAACAAATAAAAAAAAACAAATATGTAATTCTAAAGTCTTTTGATTTTATAGAAACACGAGGTTTTATATTTTATGCACGTGGAAAAGCACTCACAAAAATGTTAATAAGAAGATTTTAATAGAGAAATGTAGGAAAGTGAAAAAAATAATACATCTGTTGTTTTACTGTCTGGTAGTCACTTTTTGACAATAAAGTGTTGAATCCATACAATTAACCAGTTTAATTCACCATTATGAGGAAGTAAACGTCTAACAACGGCATTCAAAGCTAGACGGTGTAAATGCACTCGTCCGAAACCGATATTTACACAAATGCATTTGAATGCAGCCGCTACATTATCATTGGAAAAAAGGGAGGAAAAGTTGGAAAAAGACGAAAATAGTTAAATGTAACTTTATCAAATTAAACATTTCAAATAGCAAACAAAATCGACAAAATAGTTTTTTTTTCTAACGAACAAAAGGTTTGTAAAGTTTAGGGGATATGGTAGGTAAACCTCTGGGATAGTGTTAGTTGGACTGATAAGTTCATGCTATTCATGATCTTTAATTTAAGCAGAAACACTAACACTGAAGTGGTACATCTCCTGTCTAAAGTTACTTAACCAGAAAAAAAAACCCAAATATGAAATTGCATTCTGCTACAGACGCGTGCTTTGAAAAATGAATATTTTAATAAATCAAATTACAAGTGATATTGACTATGAGCAATGCATTTTGTTCAAAATGTCCACCGGTAAAAACTACAGTTACTGTGTCATATAAACAATGAACAAATTAATATAGAATTGCATACTATCACAGTGTCCAAGTTTCACACATACATTAGGAATCATCAAACAATTAGTAGAAGTGAACTAAATCATTCTGAGCGCCTTTATCAATACTTTTGGGGAGGAAAGGTGTTAGCGTTTTTCTCCAGACAAATATCCTGCTTTGTAAAATTACATCTTTTATTAATAATAATAATGATAACTAAAACTGTCAGATAGCGTCTGTGATTCAGCGGTACCACGCTCGCCAAGCACGCACATCGTCGGGGGTTCGATCATAGGGCAACGCACTCCTAAACCTCACTTAGCTGGTAGTAAATCCGGTAGAGAGGGAAGGTTGGGGGTGAGGTTAGGAATCCCAGTCTTTAAAAAATGAAACCACTGCTACCAAAAATTCAAAGCTCTAGCTTGAAGTCCTATGTTACACTCGGAACGTTGGTGGAAAGAAAATGCCAAATATATATTTATTTGTCCACTAGATGGTTGGAGGTAGTTATCAAGATGCCCTCGATTTAGCTTTCATGCTCAACGGTACTCGTCAGCAAAGATTATCTACAGCTTTGAAGGAACTGAGATTCTGACCTGAGTCACAAATTTTTACATTCAGAGACGTTAACACTCAGTCGTTATGGATACAGTGATTAGTAACCAACATCTACCTAATAGCATTTGTCTAGTTTTTGAATTCTATCAGTTAACTCTAGAACTATATAAATGACATTAGTTATCTCTTAGTGACCAGTGAATAAATACTGATGTTGTTAACATCTAGGAAATTAGTGCAGGGTAAGTAAAGTTTTGAAAAATGTAATGGTCCAACCAAAGATATGATCAGGATTTCAGCTGTAGCAAAAGAACTTATGCTTCTAGACTAGACAATTCATGAGATCATGTTTGTAAACCGCCAGAAAAACAGGAAAAAGTCATGCAACAATTATCCGGAGAACGTTAACTTCTGACAAATACTAATATAAAATTAGTTAATTATAACAAAATACTTTAGTTATATATAGAATTTGTTTGAATTCGCTGCAATTAGCTCAAAGGGTAAAATAACTAATTAAGGGCGTCGGTATTTTACTTCTTTAGGAATAAAATGCACCAATACAGTAAAAAAAAAACTGTGTCATCACGAATGCCTTTCAACTTATGTAAGACTCACTAAGTGAATTCCAGTTACTCTCAAGTCCACATTTGATCAACATACCTAAGGCTTTTATTATTTCCCCAAAGTTTTCTCTTTACCACATTTTATTTAGCCAAATGGGTTTATTCCCTTAGTGAAAATAAATCGACTTTTATGAATTTCCATTATTTAACTGATCACTGATTGACTAGATACACATAAAATCCACTTTTACTCACGTTTATAACACTAAGCAAAAGAAAAGAGACAATTTTTTGTGGGCGGAATTTCTCTTTCTTTATCCCACTAGTTGAGAAAATCTTTTCATAAGAAGGAATGAATTAATAACATGTGTAGGTTTATCTTAAACATGATAGTAACAATAATCTAAATAAATCAGTATGCGGTGACTTCAGCGACTCACTAATTCATTTTCGTTGATAATGTAAAGCGGATGAACACATTCGCGATTAATAAAATTATCATTGTGTAGTATGTGGTACACCAATTGGTGTACATTATTCAGTTAAGCAAAGGAATCATCCCATAACTGTAACGACTTAGGGGTAAAGTCAGTGAGTTTCCAATCGAATAATTCACACATATTTATATTCTCGAACTAATATGAATCTGCTTAATACTCCAGATTTCTGTAGTTGATGATTATTAATAAGTATCAGATTGAAGTTTAAAGCTCTCTATGGATTAAATTTAGAAACAAAACTGTACAACAGTGTTATCTAGCTTTGTCACTGTATTAATACTGGACGGATATATTTTAACCAACACGCTCTGAATAGACGTATTGGTTACCATCTGACGGTCAGATATAGGAAATGTATATTGACTCCTCACTAAGGAGTAACCAGTATCATGTGTGCAGTCATTAGTGACAAATTAATTGGTCACCAAAATAGGTGGTCACAGTGCACTCTGAATTGATGTCAGGTGGTTGGAGGCGACAGGTAAGGAGTTGAAAGCTTGAGTTTGACGCTTGCTGACACTTGTCGGCAACATCATAGAGACTGACAGTCACTTGGAATGATGAACATGTTTCACATTATTGCAGTCATAAGTTCAACTTAGGCGAATAATATTTTGATGTGGTTGTGTTCTCTGAGCTGGATAGTTTATTTGCGAAGCTTTCATTGCCCTACTAGGGAACATCTTCAGCGCATACCATCCAGCTCAAAGAACACAACCACAACAAAATCATCCACCTGAGCTTCAAATCTTCTCCATCATATCTAGGCGAATAATATTACCACTGAAAATCCACTAAAGTTTAAATTCGAAACGGACTACTCCAAATTAAAGTTTGATCAACGGAAGACAAAAACCTTCAAATCATCAAAAGAACTTTTTAAACCACTAAGCCTAATGATTTAATAAATACAAGTATTATAACAACTGTTCAGTCTTCTACGATATCTGATAGATGAGTGTGGATGTCAGATTATCAAGCTCAATAAATTAGCCAACACTTAATTCAAAAGAAAGGTTGTATAAATATTACTTTACCACAGAAGTGATATAATTGAAATAATTAAACATTAATTGACTGAAGGCAACAGAAAGTCATCAAGCATATTTAATATCGCTTTTGAATATAGAAAAGTGAATTTTCATCAGGACGAAGAAAAAAGGTAATCAGAAGCATTTACAGCTTTATCACAAAACTTACTTGCTAACTGTCGACATACTGAAGGCTGAGTTAATCTATCTTTTTCCGGTGAAGTTTTAAAAGATATCCAGATAATATCAGCTATCCAGTTGCCTAGTCGAACAGCGTTAACTCTTAGGAGACGATCATTGCGTTTTGCATTCACAATAGCCAAATCAAATATGTTTCTCTTTATTTGACTATGATAATTGATGTTATAAAAAGTAAAACGCCAGGTTGACCTATGTAATCGAAATTTACATATTCGACGAATACACTTGGACGCTGATAATGGTTGACCAGCAAATCGACAAAATATTACTGAAATGTTTTGAAGAGAGGAAAACGAATAGGTGAAATGCATAACTTTATAAAGAAACATAAAGATATTTTAAATTGTGGTTCGTAGGGAATTGAGTGATATTGTTTAGAGAAAAACTGAAAACCGACAGGAGTTGGAAAGCTGTTTCATCTTAGTTTGGGACTGTTTAGAGGCTTTAAATCAATCCTCAAATTTTCTGTTCGTTATTTATCACGTCTCTGGTCTCGACGTGATATCCGGCTATCGAATTAAGGGAGTGTGTACTGCTCATCAGTCCGCTACGTCCTCCTTTATGGCTGTGAGGCCTGAGTGAAAGGCATGAAAAGGCCGACTAGCTGTCTTTGATCATACGTGCCTGCGTTCTGTCCCTCTTGTGAAGTGGAATAATAGGGTAAGAAATATTGAGATTAGGCGTAGATTGCTAGGTGAGGAGGGGACATCAATGGACGAGGCTGTGAAGCCACATAGACTGAGATGGCTAGGACATGTGTTACTCATGCCTAGCCATCCATCACCTTCCTCGACAATGGAAAATGTTAGTCAGCTGACATAGGGTCATGTTGGGAAAGAGCCAGTCATGGTCAAACCAAAACATGGCTCCATCAGTCAATAAAATCCACAACAGTTATTTTAAGACGGCCACGTAAGGAGGTGTAGACTTCCTGACTGGCTGGATTCTTCGGAACGGTAAACACCAATAACAGCTGGAGACAATTGGTGATATGACTCGAAATCGTTCTCAATGGTTGGCGCAGATGCATCCACTCTTTGTGACTTATAATACCCAATAAAACTATATTGTTCTTCTATATTAATATTTTTTTTGCCTCATATCTCTGTTTTACATTTCTTCTTCTTCTTCTCTGGCTTTGTGTGCTGGTTGAAGTGTGACGGCTCGAACTGCTGCACATCGGTGCAGAGTTCTATGTTGAAAACAGACAGACAGACTATTAAAATATTTCTTGATGAAACAGAGAAGAGAGTTGAGTTTGGATCACAAAACGATACCAGTTACAAAAGTTGGACAGCTGCTTCAGCTTTCTTTGCAACTTTCCAGTAGTATATACCAGTCAAGCTACCCGGAGATCGGATCGAGGATCTTCAGGTTACGTGGTGACGCCTCTGACTACTTAGCCACTAGGATGGAGTTCACTGATACATGAATTCTAACTTCGAATTCTTTTTATCTCGCGATAGCGCTGTAAGTTTGCATTTATATTTAACATAAGTAATTTAAACTGATGAAATCTGATAACAGTAGTATATTCTAAAAAGTAATTATACAAGAAAATACAACTTAGAAGGTAAAAAGAGAAAAGTAAGAGAAATTCGAAACGGGAAAAAACTACGGAAAACAAAAAAAAGAATAAAATGATTTAATGGATAAGTTGATGAAACAAAAAATACCCTGAAGCACATAAAGAAAACATTTCTGAACTAACAGCAGCAATACAAATGAGTGTGGGAATATTTGTTACAAATTGGGTAACATTTCTTTGAAATAGTATTGCAGTCCTGTACACACAGCTAAGATTTGTCATATATTTCCCAATAAGAAGGTATTCGAGAAAAGAATTTTAAATACATTCTTTGTTTAACATCACCTCGGTTAAGCAAAATGATCTTACAAAACAAGTCTATCTGGTTAATGTTGTATGTAACTGTGTCGTGTACTCGAAAATTCAGGATTTACCTCTAGGGTTTTAGAATCAACACAAGCAGACGACTAAACACACGAGTGCACATAATTAATGTGGACACACTAGTTGGTTACTTCTCCACAATATGACGCATAACTTCAACAGTAAGGTATGATAACCATTCACAAAAGTTGACTGTTTCGCTTTGGAAGAAACAGATTAACCTAGAATTTGAAACCTTTCTATTTGTTGTTAAAGATGTTTGTCATTCTTGGAGAAAAGTGAAGGACAGAATAAATGATAAGCGTATTATATTTACACTAAATAATGAAAGTTTGTCCAACTCCTTTTTTATTCAAAATACTCTATATGTGTAAATAAAAAAGTGCACCGGTGGTTTAGTTGTAGAATGCTCGCCAATCACGCACGTGGTCCGAGTTGGATTCCCGGCCGATGTACTACTCCTAAGCTTCTCTCAGCCGATAATAAGTCTAGTAAATAGGGAAGTTTTGTTGCAAGGCTAGAAACCTCACCCCATCAAAACAAAAATCCCAGAGATACTGAAACTTTAAAGCTCCAAGCCCCACTTTCCACTAGGAACACATGGTAATGAGGTAAAAAACCTGAGCAGATATACTCATGATTTCCATCACGAATCAAAACGATCTAGGAAACTGTTAAAACATTAAAGTTAAATAGCTGTTTTGTTCTTTATCAAGACTCTGCAGCAGTGTTAAATATTAGCCTTACACAAAATAGAGTTTAGGTTATTCAAATTTATAGACGAACGTTTTCTTTTCAAACAATCATTGGATCAACAAACTTCAACGATGTGGGATTTCATTGATAACATTTTCACCACTAAAATTAATTGTTGTGGATTAGATGTCTCATGAGATCATGTCAGCTAACTCTTGGACAAAAAAGGGAAGGACATATCCAGCTCACTAGAGAACGTCAATTACTGACATAATAACCTGTAGTCGAATATATATGATTTGTTTTTTGGAAATCTACGAGCTAATAGGATTGAATTCATTCTCAATTTCTGGTTAAATGACTCCACACATGAAGATGAATGTCTGGGGAAAACATGACTCATTGAGTTTTTCAGATGTGATCTTTAAATAGTATTGATTAGGAGAAGCATACCTTTAGACTGCCACAGAAATCATATTGTCAATCATAAAGTTTTATTGAAAGGTAATGAATTTACTAATGTTACCTAAACAAACTTCAGTTTTATTCCAGTTTGAAACTCTTATGAAGTCGGCAGCTACTAAACTAACAGCAGTCCAGTTAAGAAAAATTAACTTAAAGTTAGAAGTTAACCAGATAGTTGGAAATTAATGGATCATATTTTCCAACTCTCATAAAGTCATCGCTATCCGATATCACCGGCAATTATCTATTCTCTCACCCAATCAGTTACAAATTTTCGTCAGAATTTTTGATAGTTAATTTTAAAGCCAGTATTCACGTTGAAGAATGATGGGGAGAGCAGGAGTGGGAATTCATGAACTGTCGAATTCCAGTTCAGTGAACATACTCATTTTGTAACCCGAAGGTCCTAAGCACTGATGGGATGGGAGGTTCACACCACGGAAAAGCCCATAACTAAAACTAACCACCTATCCAGTGCTCTCTGCTTCTCAATGGTATTTTCAACTATGTCAATTCATGAGATTCGTAAAATCACGTGATTGAAATGTTTATCAGACATTATGAAGACGTTTAAATTCAGTCAACAGACATCTATAGAAAACGTTAAACAACAAAGCGACGACGAATGTTCAATTGTGTTTTCTGAATTTTTATTACTTATTTAACAGGAGAGAAAACCTTAAAATTATGGACAGTGGAAAAAGCGGTTTGAAGGGAGAAGAGAGGTGGTATTCACATTAATTCTTTTTCACCATCTCTTGGCAATAAACAAATACTGTGAAAATAACCAAAATATTAATGTTTTGAAAATCACTGACTGATATAAACCAAAATAAAAATAGTGAAATGCTTTTAACAGTTTTATAAGAAATAAGTGGATTTTGTTGCTAAAATTTATTTTTTATTGTAAACCGGTTTTGTTTACACAGTAACATTTCAATGAATTCTGCAATAAAGAATGAAACTGTTAACTAATGTGAATAGAAAGAAAGCTCGAGTCGACAGCCTTCAGCTTCACAAATCCAGTAAGTTAATGAATGAGGTGAATGGCGATTTCGGCGGATATTCTATCATTCAAGCATTTCATACAGGTATTCTAATGTGGATCTAGTCTTTGTTTTTACTCCTTTACGTTCCCAGTGGAATATAGGACTTTAAGCTAGAGGTTTGAGGTTTCGGTAGCAGTGGTATTTACTTCTACGGGATGGGCTTGCTAGCCCCTCATGTCCAACTTTTACTCTTTAACAGTCTTATTACTGGCTTACCGAGGTAAATGATTGCATCGGTCGGGGTAATGGAACCCCGAGCACTCTACCGCTATGCCATCGACGCAACGTAGATCTAGTTAGTGATCATAATCTCGAGAACGATACTTTGAAGTTGTGTTATGGGACTAGTACTTTATTTCAATGTCAGTGGTTAAAGTCGGTTTAATGGTTAACAATTTTTAAGATAACATTTCTTCGAAAAAATAATTTAAATATTTATTCGTGCTCAGATACTTCCAGAATGTTTCAAGCAACAGTTAATTGGGAGAGGAATTCACTGTTCCGTAATTACACAGTTTTCTTTTGGAAAGCAACAAACAGGCAGTAGTTTGTCATCTGCTTGATACCATTAATGATATATATAGTCAAGGTAACAAGCATAAGTGCGTGACGTTATGTGTTAATGATGAATTACTGACTGATGTGAAAGGTTTTCTGCTAACCACATCAACCTGTTAGTATACACCATTATGCGACAGCTGACCTCAGTCAATTAAAACACTGTCTAATCTGGATCAATTTAAAATAACTATACAGTAGTGTTATGTGCTAAACAGTTGTTGAAAGGAAATGTCTCAGCAGCATTATAAACACCACAATTTTTAGTGTGACTTCACAATTCACTAAGATAATAATGTACGCAATAGTAGCAGGTGAATCACCCTTCTCTTTTATTCTCTGACCATTAATTGTTTTAATTTTTACTTTTAAACAACTATATTCTAAGAAAATGGCTTAACCTGATTTATGTACACTTCTTGATTTCTTTTCGACTGAATAATTTTATTCGGCTGAAATCAACATAATTTGAATGGATGAATTTTTGGCTTATCGCTAGAATAGAAACTTAAGTGATGCCTTCGATTTCAAGTAGACGTTATGTGATAGGCAGTGGCTAACACTAACACCTAGACTACGCGTTTCACCATCTTTCGGACTCCTCAGCTGGGTGCATGCATGAATGATAGTATTCCAGTCTCAACAGGAACATTGCATTCTGTAGCGAAACAAACGCATCCATCTAATGAGTATTGTGTAGGAGGAAACACAAGTACTACTGATCACTGCAAAAATAACACAAAATTCACATAAGATCATGCAGAAATATCCAGTTATGCTTACAGTGAATTTGAGAACTAACAGAATAACTAATTGTGGTCAATGTTGTGCGACATTCACTACATGAATAATAAGAATATTATACTGCATACAAAAATATACTTACATGGATTACTTTTGGGTAGAGTTATTGCTAAATTACAGTGGACTTCGATTCCAAGCCAACTGACAGGAGTGTCTATGGTGAAAAAGACGTAAAGGAAAACAAATTCATTTGAGTACATTTTATGTTAAGAAATGTGAAAAAAGTAACTGAAATCTAATGTGTTCATCTATACTGTAGGTGATTCTTTGACCTCTGACTTTTGCGCCAGCAAAATACAAACAATTCAGTACTCAACTAACTACCACTTCTGGTGAAATTGTTTTAGAATCTAAAGTACTTCTTCTGGTGCATTCAAATAGTCGCCTTTTCATCGAAAGCAAATTTCATGTAGGTACTTTCTACTCTGATTTGGTTGATCAAAACATTTTGTTTCGATAAAGATACAAAGACCGAGTTTGCAGTATACAATGATATCATTCTATTTCATTGGTTCTCATCAGCTGCAGATCACTGCTTGAAATTAAAGCGGTCATAAATAATGACAATAACGTACTTCAATGTTTGAATAGTAGTAAGGAAAACACTATAAAAATTAACGCATCCAAAATATAAGCATTACAGTTTTTGTTTAAATTACCATCAATCTGTATGCTTTCAAAGTAGAAAAGGAGATTGGAGCGGGGTGGAAGACAGGAAAATCTAATGAACAGTGTTAGGTTGTAAGTTCATATAGCAACTCAAGAGGTCAATAGTTCATAAGATTCAAAAACCTACTCTGTAAGCTGAATTCACTAATATGGATGATTAATCCATGTAATCAAAATGCCAAGGGAGAGAGAGATTGATTACCTTCTCTTTCTATTTGCATAAGTTTGTTCTGAAACGCTTAATTGCGATTACTTTAGCAGTTAGTCGTCGTAAACACATTGAAGTAGGTTACTTTCATTATTTATAGCCACTGTAACTTCAGACAGTTTGCAGCTGATGAGAAACTGTGAAGTAGAATGATATCACGTTTCACACCGCAAATATGGTCTTTATTTCTTAATCAAAATTTTCCAATGGAAACGAGTGTATCAGAAAATGCTTTGTCTTTCGTAAGTGACGATTATGCCAACGTAAACTACATAATTCATGGATAATTCAAATAAGTTCAATTTATACTGAAACCTGTGCTAAAGCGATATTGTCTAGTAGGATGACAAAAGCTTCGTAATTAAATCAACCAGCTCAAAGAACACAACTGGATCAACATCATCCACCTGTACTACGAATCTTCTTCATGTTTCGCTATTTTTCATGCCTAATGTTTTAAAAAAAATTATGTAGGGATCTGTTGATTGTTTTCTTGTCCAGTAATACAAACCAATTAATTCCTTAGATAATTAAGGGTCTGCTAAAACAAACAATTAGGTTTAACACATTTGCCTTAGATGCATAACTTTGTTAATTCATTTTGTGTTATTACTTAAATTCTTTTGATTTGTGTTAAAAGCATTTCCTTGTTAATTTTTCTATTATTCGCTTTCATTTTTAAGAAAAATGTAGCTCAATTTTTCTTGAATACGATAAATTCTTTTGCCTAAAATAATTGTTAAATATAACTAAAATATGAAGAAAAAATGTTTAAGTATTTATCAAAACGTTAGATAAATTGACTTCGTCATTACTAGTAACATTTAAAATTTTATCAACTTGCTTCAAGTGATCTAATGATTACAATAAGGTTTCACTGTAAACAAGAAAGAAATAGGTTGGGAAATTAGTATTCGAAGACTTAAGTTGATATTTTGAAAGGATTGAGAACTCATTTAGAGAGCTAACTTTCATAAATAATTCTATCGGACACATGGACAGCTGTGAAAGTGGTATCTGACTTAATCACCTTGTGGCACAAACTCGCTTTCACAGCAAAATCGATTGTTGTTACAGCTGTTGATATACCTGACAGATGGATGTACCAGTTATCTTCCATTCAGTACCTTGTATGTTGTATGTTCGTGTGACAGTATTACAAGCCTAATTAATTAATTAATAAAATACAATTTACAGTGTCTATTATTAATGTATCAGTAGACTGTGTGGACTGTGGTAGCTTATGATTCTAAAGTAAAGATAAGCTTATTTCATATAAGACACAGTGATGCAATATGAAGAACTTAATTAAAGTTCAAGAACAATTTACTTTTGATAATCATATCATTGTGTTTACCATACTCAGACTTATGTATTATTAGTATTATTATTATTTAAACGCATAAAAACTTGGTACAACATGGCACCAAGAAGGATGCGCCACACAATAATAATAAAACAACACAGATTAAGAGAAAAAAAGAAAGAAGAGAAATATATATATATATATAAGTAGAGAACGGGTAAAGAACTTCATCTGTAAGGAAAACAGTCATGCTTAACAAGTTCAAACAGTATTCGTTAACTATCATCGGGAAGGGAAGAAAGAAGGAAACTGCGACACATGTAATAGCACGCGATAAGTTTCATTGATTGTTTGTTGCTTTATTCAATTCATCGTGTGAGGGCTGAGATACTACCCGGGCGCCCAGACCGAAGCAGGTGGTTTTATTAAGGGACCACCCCCAAGCCCTTGACTTGGAGTCTAATCCGCAAGGCAGTGGAGCAGCGTCAGGAGCTGCATTCCCATGGTTTCCGGTAACCCATATGGGTTCATACGCCATTCGATCCGACTGGATACTGGAGCCCATGTAACCCATGGTAACTGCTTTTAGTTTAACCGCTATCCAAACGACCTTCCTGACATGGTAGGACCTGCAGGAACAGAGTCCCAGTCAGATTAGCATGTTGGGTCATTACGGTATTCAAGCCCGACCACCACAACAAGGTTCCAGTTATCGGCCGGGTCAGACTTATGTGCATAAAATTATAACCACAATCAAATTTTGTCAAGCTACCAACCTTTTATGTTAGCAAAAGAAAAGACGAAAACTATTTAGACTCTGCCTTGTATTTAACTAGGCTGTTATTATAGAATATGTACTTCTAAACAGATAAAGAAAAAAAGGACTTTTATACTCTAAAAATAAGTTTCTACCACTGAAAGAAATGCAGGATATCTCCCTTCTTTCTATAACTATGCAGTGGTATTTTGTTAAATGCTCTTTTAAGGAAACAAACATTAAGAAAGCAGAGCGTAGTAGGGCACTACATATATTTTTGCTTACTGATTGTCAATGAGAAACGAAAACAAGAGAATGGATAAGTCAGGAGGAACGCAGAGAAAAAGTCAATTCGACATAAATGCAAAACATCTTACTTGAATTATGTAAATTATCCTGTGATTTCTTTTGATTGCTGTATAATTCATAAGATTTGAGCCCTGCATAAAATACATATGAATTAAATATTAATTAGAGATATAGTTGACAGCAGATAAGCAGACGGTTAGCTTTACTACTTATGATGGTTACAGTAAGGAGAAAGAATGAATTTCGCTGAAAAAAGAGATAACATCTATATGACGGCTTAGTATGAATTTGATTCAAACTGTTGTTGGATTTTTAATGTACACTAGTGGATATACTGAAATAAGAGCATAACAGCTATCGAGTACTCCTTAGGTTTAAGTGAGTGATGTCAATTCATAACGAAAGGTGGGTTTTGTAACAAACTGGAAGTAATCTGCCGAACCAATAGAAACTAACGACCAATAATACGACTGTTTTACTGTTAGTCCAAATAAACGACCCTGCTAATGAAATGAAACGTATGCATACTGTGATTACTATTATTTACTTCAACTCCTAGAGGAACATAGGGCTTCCGCCACGCGTCTCCATTGCGTTCGGTTCTCTGCTAGAGTTTTCATCTGGCTTCAAGTCTGACCACATGCTTTCATCTCCTCTTCGCATGACCTCCTCCAAGTCACACTTGCACTGACGACCAATTCGCCACTTCCCTTTCCGATTTTACTAGAGGGCTTGTCTAGTGATGTCACTTGATGGTTTCCTCAGAAAGTATGGCCAATCCATCTCCATTTCTTCCCGCCTATTTGTTGCACAATCGGTTCCTGGTTGGTTCGCTCCTAGAGATCCCATTCTGTTGCTGATCTTTTCTGGCCTACTATCCGATCTTGAGCGATATTCAGAGAAGACAGCTGTTGATGAAGGTCTGTAGTTTGTTTGAGGTGCTGTTTATGACGCTCTGGCCAAGTCTCCGATCCATAAATTAGCACTGAATTCACATTGGAGTTGGAAATCCGGATCTTATTTTTGATGGTGAGTGCTGTTGACCTCCACACAGACTTGGAAGTAATGAAAGCTTATCTTGCTTTTCCGATTCTGGCTTTGATATCCTAGTCAGTTCCGCCTGTAGTTGAAACGATACTTCCCAGGTAGGTGGGTAGGTAAAGGAGGTTGTTTCTTTCATATTCCTCCCATTTATGTCAGTTGTTGCTGTTGATGTTACCCAGGAATCTTCATCACCTCTGTTTTCTCTATCTTCACCTGAAGTCCGATCTTCTCTGGATGCTTCTCCTGCCAAGTTGTTGCCTATTCAAGTATTTTGTGTGAGTCCATTTTATGCCTGTTTCCTCATCACCCGTTGTCTGTCGCATTATCCAATCTACTGCAATCAGGAAGATCATTGGCGATAGAAGACAGCCAGCTTGCCTCACTCCCGTCCTGACTTCTAAGGATTCCGTAAGTTTCCCGTTGCGGATTACTTGGCATGCAGCATTGTCGTATATTTATTGGATGAGATGTATGATTGTCGGCAGCACCCCGTAGTAGCGAAGTAGTTGCCAAGTCGCCTCTCGATCGACGCTGTCGAATGCCTTTTCAAAGTCGATGAAGTTGAGATAGAGAGGTGACTTCTATTCCAAGCTCTGTTCGATGATGATCAGTAGTGTGGCAATTTGATCAATATATGACTTGTTTCTCCTGAATCCAGCTTGTTCCGGTCGAAGCTTTTCATCCAGGTTGGCTTGTTTGATTCTCTCCAGGATGATGCGGCTTAATATTTTGCTTGGGATGGAAAGGAGCATAATTCTGCGCCAATTCTTGCATTGAATTTAGTCTCCTTTCTTTGTCAGTTTGAATAAGTATCCTTTCTTCCAATCCTCGGATACTTTGCCCTCTTTCCACATCTTCTCCAGTAGTGGCGTCATCAAGTCCGCTGTTGTCTCTGGGTCCATTCTCAATGTTTCTGCTGGGATTCCATCTGGTCCTGCTATAGTATCATTATTTTCAGCTTTTGACAATTCTGGATAAATAATAATAATAATAAGGCAGCAACATAAAATTATTTGCTCACTTACCACTTTGTAATGTTGACAATAAATTTTGCAGATCATTTTTAGAAGTTGAAATGCACAAATAATCATCTAAATACCGAAAGAAAGTTGCACATTTTTTCAGAGCATAATTATTTGTCTCAAACACAGGATTTCTCAGTGATTTATATGGAGACCAGAGAAGTTGTTTAGTGTACAGTTCTCTGTCTAGTCGAGATAAATATATATTTGCTAAATCTGATGAAATACAAGAACCCTGTGGGATACCCTTCACAAACGAATAGAGATTTCCATCAATCTATGTAGAAAAACAAAAACTAATTGTCAGTTGTAAGTATCTGTATTTATTCAAAGAAAAAAAGAATCACTTAATCTTAATTAACAACAAAAGCAAAACATCATTCCACTTTGGGCAACAAAAAATGAATGTCAGACTGTGCAAACCAGTCGTAGCCAATGAATTGAAATGACTAGAATGTTTAAATTCAACGGCTTCTAAATAAAGGCGAAGTTGCATTGTGGTATCATTAGAATCAACCCGGCAACCTTAAGATAACCTACTCATTCATTTACTGACTGGGCTGCTTACCAGATACTGTTTCACTCTAATCATCTAGAGGTTCTCAGCTATTTCACGAATAGGTGATATGTAAACAGTGTAGTATGACTGTGATTGAGATGGAGGAGGGGGATCTGGCTAATCAGCTAGAGTAACAATGAACATACAGTTACGTACTGTTCATTCACCTGGCACCTAGGCAAAACCGTTAGACACTGAAGCAAAATAAGTACGTGGTTATTATTTACGTATCATTAGCTCAGAAGATCTGGAGTTTGCCAGTTCAAATTGTGTCACATCTTAGGCTTTTACTATATCTGTTTACGAAAGTTATGCTGGTCTTCAAAAATGAATGTATGCCGTATCAGGTTCTGGGACCAATTCAATAAGACTTGAGTAACTGGTAATAATTTCGACTTTCTATACTTTGGTTTGTAAGGGTTAGTTATGCTTTTACAAGTTGATCACGGATTGATATCAGTTAGAGAACCATTGAAAACCAGGGAGTACTGGACAGCTGCTGTTTCATCCTAGTTTGAGAATCATCGGCAGTACGCACCCACTGGGATTCGAACCCAGTACCTTCCGGTTACAAGTCAAGTTCGTATACCATTCAGCCACTGGGACCCAATTCAATGGCTCATGAATTGATGTCACGTGTGTGGATGGATGTCCCACCGACGACAATAGTTGGGGTCACGCTAAATCATGAATGGGTAGAAGTTAGAATTCATGAGCCATTGAATTGGGTCTCAGTGGCTGAATGGTATACGAACTTGACTTGTAACCGGAAGGTCCTGTGTTCGAACCTCCTGTGGTGGGTGCGTACTCCTGATGATTCCGAAACTAGGATGAAACAGCAGCTGTCCAGTACTCCCTGGTTTTCAATGGTTCTCTAACTGATATCAATCCGTGATCAACTCGAAAAAAATAACTTCGACGTTATGTGCTCCAGTGTTTGTTGATGTAGAATACTTTCCTACCAAGCGCGTGGTCCGGGTTCGATTGCCAGCCGACGCACTCCTACAGATCGCCTAGCCGACAGTATGTCTGGAAAAGAGGGTGGTGGTCGGTTGGGTGTGAGGCTAGCAAACCACACCTCGTGAAAGCACAAATGCTATTGAAACTTTGAAGCTTAAGCTTTGAAGCCTTATACTACACTGGGAAAGCAAAGGAATGAAATGAAAATTCTACTTCATAACTAACCGATGATTATTTTCTACCAAAAATGACACATTAATGTGTTTACAAAGTGATAGTTTTATTAAAAGTTAACCTGATAGAATACATGTTTGTAAATATTTTATCAAATGCTTGTTAAGCGTGTAACAAAACGCTAACACTAATTCCGACTTCAATTTATCCAAACCATGCAAAGGGTGGCAAGAGACTGTATGTATTAACTGTCTAATTACTTTACTTTACAACTCTTTTCGTTTACGGGACAACAGGGATTTAGCTTGTATGCCGAAGATTCTTTTTATTTTATTTCTACTTTTTGTGTGTCTTTCCAATAGTATTGTGTGTATTTCCATATGAATTAGTTTATTGGATAGAAAACAATTGTTACTTAGTTTATTTACATTTCAGATAAAATTTATTTTACTAGAGATATATATAAGGTGAATTCAAAATAGTAAAATTAGGTCACAGCATCCAAGTTCTATTCTAATACTTTGTTAGTGTACTCTTATTTCAAACTGTATTCTTGTTTCAGTGTTATGATATATAGACACAATAGGTTTTTTTTTATTTTATTTTTTTATTTTTTATTACAGCTTGATTCCACACTGTATTTTTGGTACAAGTATGGAATTTTCAGCGTGGATATCGGTAGCCCAAAATTCGCAGGCCGACCATTGATATCAATTGTGCGTCGGATTGGACTCGGACCCCGGACCATGTGCATGGTCGGTGAGAGTCCTAACCACTGTGCCACCGACGCACAAACTGTATTCTTGTTTCAGTGTTGTGATATATAGACACAATAGGTTATAATTAAGTAACTCATTTGTCCAGTACACGTCTTCTTATGCATTATGATATGAGCCGTACTTTGAATCTGTTGATTGTGTAGGCTGGACTATGAAATTTAGAAACTGTGTCACGGATCCACTTGCTCTGAGGCAAGTTCCTAACTTAATGACTCACAAGTCCACTGTTTGATAATTCTACTCAATAAATTTCCCATTCAGTAAAAGTGTCATTAAGAGAGGAAAATCACTATAGCCTAAATCCCGTTGTTTTCACATGACACGTAACAGTATTCAGAAATATTGTTTACAATCGTTTGAAGTATAATTTCCGAAAAGTCGGTAATGGGAATTAATCTTTGGTCTGATTGGTTGATATAAGAAACACTGGAAACTAACATTAAAATTACATATATATATATATATATATATCATCAATAAAATCAAAAAGTTATGGTGGTAAGTGAACATCATAACATACAGACATGGTAGACTCTTTCAAAAACCATTCCAATTCACGTTTAAGGAATTGTACGTCTGGTTCGGGATACATATAAAAGCTAACCTTGAAGTGTAAAAAGAAGAAGACATAGGAAATGGTAGTTTGGTAATAAAATATAATTATAATATGAGATAATACATACATTTTTTTCGCTGAAGCCTGGATTATACAAAATTCCAAACAGCGGGTAACAAAATATCACTTCAGTGGTCTAACGAATGGAATAATAATATTTATGACTCTTAGCCGATTCTCGATATCTTTGGAAGTGGAGAAGTGTTTTTTTTTCAAACGAATTAGATACCGTTGCAATCGTTTATTTATAATTCTGTTGACCAAGTGCACAATGCGTGTTAAAACACTTATATACAGTGGCATAGACGGACAGGTTAGTGAACACTTTGTTTCAGTGTTGAGTGTTAAACTAAAAGCTCTTTCTGTTTGACATCCAGCAACAAGACTTACTCAAAACATTGAGGAAACTTACCAGGGCTTCTTGGGAATTACCTTCAAACATCTAGCATCAACTGAATGTGTTTTTTAGCTTGGTGACTCCATTGGAAACTTGAATCATAGAATTCAGTCACCCCTGTAATTAGCGTCTAGATACATGAGATGGGTTATACTCAAGTGATTAATCAATGTAAGCGCATGTTCATTTTCAGATTCCCAGAAGGCTTATTTACTTCCAATTATTTAGTTAATTGTTAAAATACCATTCTGATGAAGTACAAGCACACTTAGTTTTTACAAAATGAAACTTTTCTAGGTACTGGGATTTTCAGTTTACGTAAAATGTTTTGAATTCAGTTTGTTGATTTATATTATTCATACATCCAAAGTAGTCAGAATGACGATCCAGTTACTTCTGAGATATTCCTTATGTGTGGGAGTACAATCATCTTTATGCTTGCCACGAAGTGATTTTCAACAAAGCGCTCTAGATATCTATGGTCTTGAAACATTTCTTGAGTATATTCCAATAAATTAGTAACTGAGGCGTTAAAATATTAGCAACATGTCACTTGCTTGGTGTTTACATCAAACACACACACACACATACAAACCGGGTGCAACTTTACACTTAAATTAAAGCTAGTGTACTGATAGCCAAATAGAAGGCTGGTGTGGAATAGACTAGTTCCACAACTATATTCGTCATCACTGAATATTATCTACTGGCGAGCATAAAATGACAAGGAGTATTAAATCTAAAATGAAATGACTACTAACATGATACCACAATTAGTTCTCGACTAACCCTTTATTTAAAAGTTTTTTTCACTTGTTTAAATAACAAAAAGGATGGGGCAGGGTATAGCGTGCCACTTACTTCATCGAAAACATTGGAACATATTTCTAATAACCGTGAGTGGACAATCTGATTGAAACAATCTTGGATATCAACTTTAGCAATCCAAAATCTAATAGAATAAATTGCAAGTATATATAGAAAAAGTATTATTACATGAATGAATTAAATAATTCATAATGAAGTTAACCAACTAATTTAATAAACGAAGACTGTATTGTAGTGTTACCATGTGTATCAAAGACTTCACGTGTTTCTGTTGACAGCATGGAATAAGAAGAAAAAAAGAACACGAAAAATTTGTTCACAAATGTGTCAAAGTTCTTGAAATTATATAAAACTAGCTACGTTAATATACATATATATATATATATATATATATATATCTTTGCAGTGACGTACATGGTGAATTGTCCAGGAGTTGGGACTCAGGTCATTCAAATGTGAGGGACTGGCTAAAAAGTGAATTTTTGTTTAAATGTAAATCAACCGTACATACAAATCAAAGTAGATACTCATAAACCTTGGTAAGATTATCCTAACGACAGTGTTTTCTTTTTGACGGGGACATTGTGTTATTCATCTTACAGATGAATTTTGTTGTTGGTATAAAATGTAACACTGAGATATCAATTTTTCAACAATAAGCAGGTTACAAGCAATCAAAACACATTCCACTCAATAGAACTGATAGGACAGATCAGTCACAACCATACAATGATTGATCTAGATAAAATCGTTAACCAATGAACACAGTGAATAGGTTAAACATTTGAAAATCAGTCAGAAAAATAAGCAAGGCAAAGATGAAGTCACAGTCGCTTAGATGGAATGAATTTATATAAGTACGCATAAGAGAAAGTCAAATTTTTTCGACTACCTAATTTAAACTGAAAATGTTAGATAGTTGAAGCCAGTCGACAGAAAGCCTTGGACCTAGGTTTCGTGTAGTTGCCACTCACCAGTCAGCAAGGCGTATCTACAACCTTGAAGGAACTCATGTTCCTTCTGAGATTCGAACCTGCGTCACTCAGTGCTGCAGTGAGAGACGTTACCACTGAGCTATTCGGGCTCGCGATTGACCTCCTGTAGGACTGTAATGGGTAGTTTGATTGGACACTAATAGCTGTTGTGACGTGAGCCCGAATAGCTCAGTGGTAACATCTCTGACCGCAGCACTGGCTGACGCGGGTTCGAATCTCAGAAGGTTGCAGATACGCCTTACTGACTGGTGAGTGGCAACTAGCACGAGACTTAGGTCCAAAGTCTCCTACCGAATGCCTCCAACCATCTAATATCATCAAATCAATGTGCACAGTGATGGCGAGCTAACTAGAATGGTGGCCACATTGCAAATTCGACTGATAGAATTCAGTCTGCACCAAAGAAAGGACCAGACACGTCACATTAGTTACTAGTGTCCAATAAAACTGAAAATGTTTCCTATAGTCGGATGAAAAGCCTCATTTCCGAGATAATCACCTGGTTGACAATACCTGCTTTAAATCAGTTTCAAAAGTGTGGTGATTGAAGACTAATGTTTATGTTTTACGGGTTGATCACGGATTGATATCAGTTAGAGAACCATTGAAAACCAGGGAGTACTGGACAGCTGCTGTTTCATCCTAGTTTGGGAATCATCGGCAGTACGCACCCACTGGGATTCGAACCCGGGACCTTCCGGTTGACTGTGTTTGTAGATTAATACAACCCAAATTAAAAACAAGTAAATGCATTGGGAAAGGGGATTCATAAAAGCGATATTTTGATGCCAGCCACTAGAAAATAAATAACATCCAGACAGTAATTGATAAAAAGTATAACATTATATTTTCCATAGTTCGGTTTGTAAGGGTTAGTTATGTTTTTACGACCTTGTGAAAACAACATAACATAACTATGCGTCGGTGCCACAGTGGTTAGGACTCTCGCCGACCGTGCACATGGTCCCAGGTTCGATCCCCTGCCGACAAACACCTGATATCTATGGTCGGCCTGCAAAATTTGGGCTACCGATATCCATGCTGAAAATTCCATACTTGTACCAAAAATACGGTGCTGAATCAAGTTGTAATCAAAAATAATAAAATAAATATGATTTTGAAGGTTATTGCATGTTTGTGGAAAATACCCATATGGATACTAGAAAGAAGAGAACACGAAGTTCATCAAAGATATCTTTTCGGCGATTTGTATGTTTCATCACTCTTCAAAATAAATATCATTTAACTAGTCTACTCTTGTAGTAAAGTATTCGTTATCAAGGTGGTTAAGCGATTATTTATCATATTTCAGTACTTCAAGTAAGTACAACAAAAAAGCAAATAAAATGTTATTCCGTTTAGTCTGTCTTATGGAGCTGTAGTTTATCATTTAGTAGTAGATACTCAACTAGTCGACTGCGATTCTCAAGCATAACTCACCAGTCAAAGACTGAGCAGATGTACAGTGATAAAATGCATCTCGTCACAAATATATATATATAAATGATTATATGCTACTGTTATTACTCCTGCGTCGGAAGGAAACAAGGGACTTGGTAACGTACTTTTTTATCAAGGAAAAACGCCATATTTAGATGCGTTTAAGGTCGGCTAGGTCAGCGGATAACAAACTGTTCCGACTGGTTGTTGATTTTCTGAAGGTTAAACCTCAAGACGAGCAGTTGTCCAATGAGATTATTTCCTGACCACGACGTAAGCTGAATCCTTATTTGAGAAATAAACAGTCCTACTTATGTAGCCGTTGAATTAAAATGTTGTTTTCAATTTTGGCTACTTCCTATCAGTCTGCGACTAAGTACTACTGATCACTGTTGTCAATATCATTTGCCACAATACTACATGACCACACATGCAAGCGTAGGGTTGCGTTTTACCTCAAGTCAGTAAACTGTGTTATGTTAGCATCGTATTACCTGAATAATATTCATTTATCATTTTACTTACCTATTCATTGATATTTTGTGTGCTCATTAGGTTAAGTTGAAAAAAAACCCACTAAGCATCATTTCATTATCTTTCATGAATAATTATTTAGGTTGTTTTTATATCTGTAATTATCTATCCGTGAATTCCATTTTATGAAGATGCAATTTTTTAGTTTTTACTTAACATGTAGGTCAAAAATGTAGGTGAAATTATAGACCATGCATATAAACTAATTCATAAGAGATGGGAGAAAAGACGATACTGATTTATATCATTCAGAGTTAATTAGATAAATATTTTGTAGAGTAAATAAATGTCCCTTGATGAAAAAATTGATGAGAATTTGCTTAACACGCTTCGAATCATCTTGTAGTCTGATGGTAGAAGAATTAGAATTAGGTTACAAAAAAACGATGAAAGTATCACTAGTCTTAGTTGAAGTCTTGTAAATATCAAGGACCGGTGATAAAGGACTACCAGTGAAGGGAAGTGAGCTTTTTAAACTCCGTCACAGGAGCAGGTCTCATATGGTCCAGGTAAAACCACACGTATTGTGTGACGGCTGTGTTACTACACAGTTGCCCAGACTGAAATAAGTAGGGCTGGGTTCGAACCCGAGACCCACTGACTGGAAGTCAAGATCTTGACGCCAATCAAGTAAGTCTCCGTGTGCTTGATCATTTTAGTAATTGTTACTTGTCTGATCATTGTCCTAATATGTACAGTTGTGACATCTGCTTTTTTTGTATTTTTCAAAGTCTCAAGTCATCTTATCGGTTTTCAAAATTATTTATTTTTCGATAAAGAAAGGAAGACGAAATTTACAGTATAAAATGATATCATTCTATTTCACAGGTTCTCATCAGCTGCAGACTACTTTATTGTTTGAGTGTTGTAATGCTTTCATTTAGATGCGACAATTTTATAGTATCTCTTCTCTACACCACTCAAACAATAAAGTAGTCTGCAGCTGATGAGAACCTGTGAAATAGAATGATACCATTTTATACTGCAAATTTCGTCTTCCTTTCTTTATCGAAATTTATCAAGGGAACAAAATGTATAAATTTCTTGAAAAGACGCCTCCCTGCCCCAACTATTGAGTCACTGAATCAGGTGGTGACCATACGGTGCAGAATATCTAGAGAATCAACAAAGATCAGGTTCTATGAACAGTGTTTGCAAACGGGTTGTTTCCCACGGCAGTTCCTGAAACAAGTGCGGTCGGCTAAACTCCCACCTTCTCAAAAGAATCTCCGTCGAATAACAAAATCTCACATCGAATCCTCTTACCAGAATCTCTCCGAATTGAAATCTCGTCTGGCTACTTATGATACCCTACTGAGTGAGCTTAATATTATCTACTGGCCTCAATTCATGAATTTTATCAAACAGCTACAATGAAAAACATCCGAGGAGTATGAAACTCAGCTGACAAAAGCGTTGGTGAAAGAGAAGCTAATTGAAGAATTCCCAGAAGCACCTGAACGCTATGTTTGTAATCTATCAAAATTACAATTAAACAAAATCGAATTAGAAGCCCTATCTCTAGGATTCAAGTTTCACGTCCCCAAGAAGCACATCAGTCGTATAGACACAGAAGCACAATTCGAGCACTTTTTTTTCTTTCTCACCTGTTAACATTGAAGATTGTGCTCGTCTAAGAAGACTTGAAACAACTGATACCTTTACGCTGATAGGGTGTGATGGTATTTTGTAAATTCTGGTTTAATAATACTTTGATAAAGCTATTAGCAGCAGCATTAAATAGCGAAACGTCAGTAAAAACAATATCATTTTGTTTTCCATTCATTCATTGGGAAACACAAAAACGTTTTATAATAATGAATATCATTATACCCAATGCCCAAATTTTTTCTGACTGTTAAAAGTGAACTTGATTTGGACATATATGACTTTCTCTCCCTTCAAGCCTTCAAGCATTTTCTTTATTACTGTGTAAATTTAGTCACGAAGCAACATCAGTTAAATAATCACCGATAGCCATTGTTGCATTATGTTCCATTAGTAATTATTTAGTTTGTTTTCTATGTCTGCAATTATCTATGAAAATATTTATATATATATATCAGTGTCCCCTGGATTTCAGTGATTCTTTGGCCGATGTTAGCTCGTAACGAATTCCACACTCAAATTAATCCATATCACGAAGAAATCCAAAACTATGAATATTTTTGTATCTCTATAATGTGTTTATTTTGTTTTGCGGTACATAGTATTTTCCATACATTTTGCAGTCACCCTTTTTTTTCAACAGTATGCCGATAATCAGTTAATTTTCCCAACACTAACACACTGCATTACAGCTGATCAGGACTTAATTTCCATAACTTTTAGAACAATATAATAAAAGTCTATTCGTCCATTGTTTTTTCAGTACTTGCATTTTAGTACTGTTAAGATTATAGGTAGTTGTTACACATTCATGAGAAACTGTGAAACGAATGATACATATTATCCTGATACACTTGTTTTATTTCTATGGAGTTTAAATTTATGAGAAGGCAGATGATCTTACCGACGAAATCCAACTGAATAGGCGAATGAACGAAAGGATAGTAAAGCGGTGAATGCAGATTTTGTTGACAATAGAGATGGTGCATAAATATTTGGAAACTGAAATTAAGAAAAAATAAATAAATTCAAAGTAGGATAAAATTAATTTGAATCGAAAGGATTTCAAGCTATGAATTAAAACGTTTAATAGCAAAAAGATAGTTAGGTTGATTACAAGATAATAATAGCTTGATTCCAAATCAGTACTTGTGATACAGAATGGAATTCTCAGAACTTTACTACAATATTGCATCCAGTTAGTACATTAACAATAAATAAATTTCTGCATAGATTAAGGTCTGTCTGTCTGTTTTCGACATAGAACTTTGCACAAATGTGCGGAAGTTCAAGTCGCCACATTCCGTGTAGCACGCGAAGCAAGTACAAGAAAAGCATAATAGAAACAGTGAGCAGAGGTGTGAGACAAAGGAGTAATAAGGAAATACAAAACAGTTTCATTGAAGATCATAAGTCACAGGGAGTGGATGCATCTGCGCCACTGAGAACGATTTTGAGCCATGTCACCAATTGTTTCCAACCATAGATTTTTACCGTCCCGAGGACCCCAGCCTGGAAGTCTACACCTTTCTACGTGGCTAAGACCAACTGTTGTGGATTTCATTGACTGATGCCAAGTTTTCGTTTGACCGCCGCTAGCTTTTTTCCAGCCTGACCCTATATCCGCTAACATAGCTCGTCGAGGGAGGCGATGACTTGGCATACGTAACACATGTCCTAACCATCTCAGTCGATGTAGCTTCACGACTTCGTCGATTGATTTCCCCTGTTTACCTAGAACTCTACGCCTAACCTCCATGTTGCTCACCTTATTATGCCACTTTACACGGGAAATAGAGCGCAGGCACCTATGATCAAAGGCAGCTAGTCTTTTCATGTCTTCCACTCTCAGTGGCCAGGTCTCACAACCATAAAGGAGGACGGAGCGGACTGATGAGCAGTACACCCGCCCTTTGGTCAATAGTCGAACATCTCGTCTACGCCAGAGTCGGCGTAAACTAACAAATGCGAAACGAGCCCCTTGTATTCGTGCTGAGATTTCGTCAGAGATCAGCCCGTTGGGGCTGATGGTACTTCCCAAATAAGTGAAGCGGTCAACGTGCTCTACCACTTCACTTCTTATTTTTAAACTAGGCGTCGATGTAGTCCAGTCCTGTAACATCATCTTGCATTTGGCGGGAGCGAATCGCATGCCAAACATTCGTAGATTGCGGCTCAAGGTGTTTAGAAGACTCTGCATTTCGTCAGTGTCTTCGCCTAGAAGGACTATATCGTCTGCATATTCCAAGTCAACGAGATTATTCCCCGGTAGCAAGTCAATTCCTGAGTCGCTGAAGTCACCTAGGGTTAAGTCCATTAACACATCTATGATGAAGTTGAATAGAAAAGGAGATAATGGGCATCCTTGACGGACACCACTGGTCGTCATCAGTTCAGATGACAGCTCGCCGTAAGCCCTCACCTGGCTGTATGAGTACGAATAGAGTGCCTTAATCAGTGCAATATATTTTCTCGGAATTCCCTTTACAGCCAAGCATCTCCAGAGAACTTCCCGATCAACAGGTAATCTTAGTTAGTTTTGACAACAACATATTAGCATGTCGGTAGCAAAGCCAAAATTAAATAGAGTGTTAGAAGGTGTTTAGAAAAGTAGGTTCTAGCATATTTACTGGCGTAAACAGAAACAAAGCTGCACATAACAGTAAAATGAGGGAGAAAAGGAAAAGAAAGAAAAAATGTTGTACCTGTAAATGATGTGAGTTGGAAAGACGAGATCCAATTGTTCTACTGACTATTTAATAAGTTAAAGGTTTCAAGCCTAATGCTTTCTTTATCGCACAGAACACGAGCTAGGTAGGTTATGGATGACATGCAATTATTTCATTACTTAAGTAGCTCTTAAGTCAAACTCTTTGTTTTCGTTGGATGTCTCGTTAGCTTAAACCTCGGCTGGCTTAAAGGCCTGCTGCATGAATGCAGCCTTAGTTATGGCTTTGCATTCAAAAACTCATAGTGCTATCAAGACGCATGGTGAATTGATGTATGTTTTATACTGAGAGAATTATTTTGAGATATATGGATATAATATTTCGGGGAAAAAACATTTTGAAAAAGAGAGGACGTTTAGCGAAGTGACATTTTTTTCGGTGAATTTATTCACATAGCTGTAGAATCGCATTTATATACAAATATTTTTGTGTGTGTACATGAGGTTTGTCAAGTTTAGTTAATTAATTAGGCAATACAAGAATGATCTAATATAGAAACAAGGTTAATTAGACAGCAACTAAAATAAGATTGAGTTACTAGGTTAAATGACATCATATAATTAACTAAAATGTTTCAAATTATGTCAGGATAGCAACAGAGGTAATTACAGGCAGAGAGTAAGTAGAGGTGGGATAGAGAATAATGCCATTTAAATTAGGACAAAAATTGAGCAATAAATTGGATGACGTAACACAAATGACCAGAAATTGAGCGTTATTCAAGTCAATAACATTGGTAATGAGGTGTAGAAATTATCTCGGATGGAAGTAGAGGATAGGAAAGCTGAAAATGTAAAATATTACAATTGAAAAGGCAAGATAATACTGTAACAACACAAGACAAGGGCCAGGCAACAGATCGTTTATTATGGAAATCAACACATATTTATAGATTTTCATGTACATATTATAGATTATTGTTAGCAGAAAAACACAGTCCTCAGATTGGTTGTTTCTTAACAAAAGTTAACCTTGCATCTCTTTGTGACTGTTTCTTGAAAGTCAGATCATCTATGTGCTAACTGTATCCGCCTACTCAAAGTCTTTGTTCCCATTTTTCTCACGAACAATATTGGGGACCTAAACATTGACGTAAATTATTGTCCATCAATTTTGACTAACAGCCATCTCTCACTACAATACTAGTAATGAAGAGACAGAAAGAAGTAGAATTAGAATACATTACGTCTATTACAAGTGTAGTGATTGAATGAACTTCTTCAGTATTCAGAGTTTAGGACTTAGTAAGTGAATCGCTATTGCTTCTGCAGTTTAAAGAAGTTTGATTCGTACACTTTTAGGAAGACTGCTTTGTATTCTGTAGACGATTTTGAATTTTCAAGTGTTGGTTTGTAGGGATTTGATTGATTTCAGGATTTCATCATGAGCTGACATTAGTAAGAGAACCATTGGAAAACCTGGGAGTACTGGACAGCTGTTTCGTCCTGCTGAAGAGTCCCAAACTAGGACGAACCAGCTGTCCAGTACTCCCAGGTTTTCCAATGGTTCTTTAACTAATGTCAACTCATGATGAAATCCTGAGATTTTGAATTTTGTTTAGGTTGTAGCTTGATGTCTGAAATCTATCAGATGTTCTAAGATAGAGCTGCATGGGCATCGATTTTCTCCTTTATAAAACTTTGCTGGTAAGTGTTCGGTGATATGTTTGGAAAGCGAACCCTGGGTACCTAGCTCCACACGAGCAGGTGAAGTTTCAGCACAATCTGCAACCAACTCAAGGCAGATCTTCATTGACAGATACCAACATTCGCTATACGAAAGATACTAACAACTATCCTTTTGTTTTTGAGGTGTTTATGGTGTGAATTTTATGTCGGCGTTTTCTTTTTTTTCCGTGGCTGACCGACTACAACAGTTAACACGTGGTGTACATACACATCGAAAAGATGCATACACATTGGAACGAATTAACTGAAAAGAGCCTCTTATCGCTAAATCACTCGCTCTCCGGTATTTATGTATAAATGACTTACGATAGTCTATTTAGAAGGAAACAAGCCATTTTGTTTTATGAAAGTATGTTAATAATAATAATAATAATAATAATAATAATAATAGTAGTAGAAGGATGACATTGTAATGTGAAGATAACTTACTTCATTTTGCAGTCGTTTAAATACATCGAATAAGCCATTTTGAAGCTTCAGACGTTGGTTAAGACTTAAGCAATTCACTGTTGATTGGCACTTCTTTAAATTTATTGCTTCATTATTTGGTAATTGATAACTAGCATTAGTAACTAGACGAAATATATTCCCAGAAGATTTCATTGATAAACGACCAACACTATGAGTTATTGAGTATCTTTTGCCAGTATACTCGTGCAAGTGAATTGAAGACAATGGTGTAACCGAATTATTTACAACCTGAATGACACCATCTTTAACTAATTCTGTGTTAAAAAAACAAACAAACAACAACAGTGTATAAGGAGACGACAGATGCAGATTATCAACATAGAACATGATGATGTTACACCAAATGTTTGCACATCAGTATGAGGAGTTTAAAAAAAAGAGGAAGAGAAACAAATAAAGAAAACGACTACAGTCTGATATTATCAAACCTATAGAGAGGAAGAATCAAAAGGTAAGGCAATTAGAAATGAGCAAATATGAATAGGATGCTTTCTAAATCATGATACATAAAGCCGTCAGGCATCAGTTCTGTTCCTCAAGCTTGAGCTGTAGAGTCTCAATAGCAGTGGTGTTATTCTTTTTTGCAGGGTGAGGTTGCTAGTCTCATGCCCAACCTCCCCTCTTTACCAGGCTTACTGAAGGCTAAGAGAGGTATAGAACTGTGTGAGCAAGCGACTGAACCCCGGACTACATTTGTGGTGGGTGAGCGTTCTACCACTGGAAAACTGATGTTACCAATTCCGAATACTTGTTGGTATTCGCTTGTAAATTCTTAAGTGATTGTGACAAATGCTAAAATCACAAATATTCCAATGGAAATAAACAGATAACTGTCCATTTAAAAAAGTGCATGTTTGCATGAATGCGTGTATAGACATTGAGTCAGTCGAATTAGAGAGCTTTTAATTAGTAGACAAGGACAACACACAGTTTGAAAGAAAGTGCGAAAATACAAAATGAATTTTTCGGCTATTTTGGAATTTCCAAGGTGAAGAAGTTTACAAATAGGTGTCCTACGAAGTTAAAATAATCACTCAACTAACAAGTTCATAACCATGAATAACGCAGTGCAAACAGGTTTTGCAGGTTTAGATAGATTCATTTTATCTCCTAAGGAATTAGTCAACTGCACACAACCTAAGTGGTAAAACACATAAGGAATAATCGTAAATCATTTTTAACACAGTTTAACTGAATAGTCGGTTCATTTTATAGGAGTATGATAGGTTTGTGACTTCACAATTTAATTCGAAGTGGCAGTGAAGTGGTTCATCCAACACTAACCTAAAGCACTCCAACGAACTGATCACGCATTTTATCATTTCTAATTATATACAACCGGCAATCCCTATGCAATGAATTATCGCGTCGGTGGCATAGAGGTTAGGACGCTCGCCGACCATGCACATGGTCCGGGGTTCGATCATCTGCCACCGATGCACTCCTTCCCCTCGCTAAGCCAGAAATAATGCTGGTAAAGAGGAAAGGTTGGGCATAAGGCTAGCAACCTCATCCTGTAAAAAATAAACACTGCTGCAGAAACTTCAAGCCACTAGCTTGAAGCCCTATGTTCCACTGGGGAACGTGAAGGGAAAAAAATGAATTATCACCAAAAGATTTACTCATTTCGCATTGAACTTTTATCAGGGCAACTAACTGCATAAGATCTTCAGAAAAATGAAAAATATTTCATACCTACCATTTACGAAACTTTTACTAATTGTCTTCCACTTATCACGTACAAAATAAGCAACTGTAGGCACTGTAGCATTAAATTCACACCAACAGAAATATCTCTGAAGAAAGATAGTGTATTAGGGTGGGGGTGGGAAAACATTGATGAACACTAACTTTAAGGTAAAAAACAACTATGCCAGACAATAAAGTATATACAAGGGCATAGATGTATGGCCTCCATATTGTCGCTTTTTCCTTAGGCACCTGAAATGAGAGAAGAAATACAATTTCAGCTTAACATTTATTTATCAGAAAATGTATATTATTGATTTATGGGTAATAAAAAGAGAAAACTAATTTTAACTTTCAGTCAGATTAATAACTATTGTGTCAGACTAGTTCACAACAGCAGTAGGTGCATTTGCTTATTACAATGACTTTTTCAATTAACACACCGGAAGTAGTTAACTATCATCGTCCACAACCACTAAGTATTAACACCGATTATGCAGTAGCCAGATTTAGAAAAAAAAACAGCTGTTCAGCTCAGGAGGAAGAACTACTAAACAAACCGATGAAAGATGTATAACTGATGGTTTTACATTTAAATTCCACAAAGATTCATTCTTTATCTGAGAAGTAATCAGAAGTATGTGGGAACTATTAGTAAGAATATATCAACATATGAAGATGACATGAAAATAACCTCTGACGATAGTAATGAGTTGAGACAACTGAAATTTACCGGGAACACAGCAACTCACTTAGAACTACAGACAAACCTTACTCAGTAGTAAAAAAGGTCATTACTAATAAAAATTGAAAATTAGTCACGACAAAAGTTGTCAGGAGACACAGTTGTTAACATTAATGGACAATTCAAATAGGTTCACTTCATACTAAGGCTTGCGTTGAATATGTTGTCTAGTAGGACACCGAAACCTTAGCAATTAAATCATTCAACTCAGAGAACACAACCACAACAACAGTGATGTGTTTTATTTTATGCTGAATTCTAGTCTAGATGCTATCACGAATTCATTCGATTCATCACTCGTTTAAACAGAATTCGAAATCACAGTCATCAATATTACTCACTGTACATGGGACAAAGTTTATAATTTAATTTTGGAAAAGAACACTTTTACAAACTACTGAACTATTTTACAAACTTATACTATTTACTCGCTCTCGGTTTAGTAGTATGTGTAAATCTATTTAAATATCCAATACAACTGGTGTAAGTAAAAAGATTTCATGAGTCATCAAAGTTGATATAAAAAGTTCATAATATTGTAGCGTGTGTAACTATTAAGAACTGAAACTTAACAATGGGAAAAAATGGAACGAAATAAGCGACCCAGATACCAGTGCTAGCCAACGTTAAACAAATACAAATGCTTGTTGATAGCACAAATCATGCGAATAAACTTGGTCTGGTGTAAGGGAAATTTTCGCGAAAAATGATGAAACAGGGCGACCAATTTTTCTTATCCTAATGACAATAATAATATTTGTGGAAGTGATAATAATGCAGTGGTGGCCCGATGATAGAATTTTCACCAACCACATGCTTGGTTTAAGGTTTGATTCCCGACAGATGCGCTACTAAACCTCACCGATTTTAGCAACCAATATTACGTTTTGGAATGCTGGAGAGTTGAATGTGAGATTAGCAATTTCACTCTGTGATAACAACACCAGGGCTACTGAAACTTCAAGATTTTAAGTCTGGAGCTTGGTGTTCTGCTCGGCGTCCAAGAATGAAAAAGAGACGATAATAATAAGTAATATAGTATAAATATCTTGAAACGCATAAATTACATTTGAGTAGAGATGCAGTTGCTGAACTTACCGAAAGGGAACGGTAAATAGTAGAAAGTTGAATACCACAGCCGTACTGCATACTGATAAAGTGCTTTAAATGTATACGAATCATGGTTTTTTTTATTCAAAATAAGGAAACCAAACAGAAATTGATTAAAAAATAAACTCCATAAGTCATCTTATTTCCTGATAAGTTTGACAAGCTTTAAGGCGAAAAACACACTTAAGTTTCTGATTTGTAATGCTTATCAGTTGACATCGAATTAGGTTGAGTAACTGAGACGATTTTGTGCACAGCCAGCCTATGAACTACATACATTTAATGATTTGTAACAGTTTGGAAATAGATATAAGTTTGCTGCATGTTTCGCGATTTTAAACCACTTCACCAAAAACTGCAAGCTGCTGACGAATAATACTACCAAAAATCACGTCTAGGCAATATACTATCATTAAATAAGTTACATACTTCAAGTCTAGAAGTTGAACGTAAAAAGGATATATTTTAAAAAAACGTTGAAATTGTCATCACCATAGAAAAAGCTTTTATAGCAGTACAAGTGATTTTTCAACAAAGTGAAAATCTAAATTAAAATATAGTAATTCAATATAAAAAGTCAGGATGACTGATTGTCTTACATAACGATGATTAACTTGTTCATTGTATCTGATTGCCATCTTTTTGTACCTATAATTATTTTGCATATTATTATAATTAGATTATCATAATAAACTAACCTTTTTGAACACTTCATCATATTTCGTAATTCTTCAACATTGATCTCTGCTAAAATCAACTGTATATGTACACTGAACATATTCGTGAACCTTTTTAATGCATCAAAAAAATGAAGCATAAAATTTGAATCTGTATACAATATATGTTAATTAATAATGGAGGGAAACAAAACCTTTAAAAGATGATCGATCACGATAACACGTTGTCATAATAAGGCACTTTCCAAGGTCAATAGTACGAAGTATCGAATGCCTAAAAAGATAAATAGAGGAAAGGATATTTAATTGAAAAAATAACCTTTCTTTTGGATTATTTATATGAACTTACGCATAACTAACACATACTAAAATAAACTATTTTGAGATTACTATCGTCATCAATGAGTAAATTATCCAAGTGTGTTGAGAGTAAAATGACAAATTTCAGTATCAGGAGTCTCAAAACCAACTGTGATCATTATAATTATTTCATTTTTATATAAATTGACCTAACAAGTAGATGTTTAGTTAGAATATTTAACTTAATTTTTTAAATAGAGCTATTGAAAATGCCATAAACATATATATGCTAGATGAAGAGTTGCATCCACTTATTGAAAACGTTTAGGCAACATATTCAAGGTTGTAACTTTCTTTTAATTATTTTAAATACTCGGTAAATTAATGCTGATGGAGTGGTTTTACGGGATATGTGAAACAAGATAGCCAGTAAAAGAGCGGAAAAGAAACTTAGTCAAAAACATAAAGATGTACTTTAGAGGTATGTAAGAGATTTAGAGTCTTTTTATGATTCAATTTTAGATACTGGCGTAAATTATCAGATGGTGATGTGAAACGCCGAACTCTATCAACGACGGCTGAAGAGTGGCAGTTAAGCACAATAACACATCATTGACGGATTATCAGTTTTGGTGTCAGATTTACAAAACATCAAGACAGGTTGTAGACTACAACAATTTTAACCTAAGAAGTCATCAGTGTGCCGCATGTTTATAAATAAAAACTATTTTGATAATACCGAAAATATTTAGCTTCTGGCGTGGGAAATGAGTGTGCCTTCTTTGTCATTTATATGAATAATAAATGAATGGTGTGCATAATTTTTGTAAGTGCAGAGAACACCTGATCACAGTGTTTTGAAACTTAGTAAGCTATTCAAAAATATACTGCCATACCTGTGTCCAACTTCCAGTTCACTTACTATCTTAGATATTTGAACCAGCCTATAATATATGAGATACTCCCAGCCAAAAAATCCATTATACATAACTGAGTCCTATTGACCCTCGCACTACGTGTTTCTCTATTTAAAAAGAGCGCCTGTTCAAAATTATCACAGATTTCCTGCTGTTAAAATGGTTGTATTCTCCATTTATTTGCTAAACAAATCCTGCAGATGGTATATACACATATTAAAATCTTTTTTACCGTGTTAACTGGTTTCCTGATTCATATAACTCCGGTTTACAAAGTTGATACCTCCTAATTTTCACATACGTTTATAGCACAGAGTCATTAACCAAAACGTGGCACCAGTCAATGAAATCCACAACAGTTAGTTTAAGCCAGCCACGTAGGGAGGTGTAGACTTCCTGATTGGTTGGGTTCTTCGGAACGGTAAACACCAATAACAGCTGGAGAAAATTGGTGATATGACTCAAAATCGTTCTCAATGGTTGGCGCAGATGCATCCACTCTTTGTGACTTATAATACCCAATAAAACTATACTGCTTTTCGATATTACTAATGTTTTTGTCTCATATCCCTGTTTACTGTCTCTGAATTTCTTCTCTTGCTTTGTGTGCTACACTGAGTGTGGCGACTTGAACTGCTGCACATCGGTGCAAAGTTCTATGTCGAAAGCAGACAGACATAGAGTCATTTCACATTGCTTTTGTATTCGGTTAACAGTGACACGGGATGACAGCAAAGGACGTAAGTATTGCAGTATAGTTATGCACCTTGAGACGAAAAGTTGTCAAAGTTCTTTCTGTTTGGTGTTTTATACCAGTGAATAATTTTTGCATAGTCTTTCAGGCATATATATATTCAGTTACTTTCAACTTAAATATTCTTTCATACCTTAGTCATTTTTTCGGCGATTCAGAAGCATTCAACAGAAAATGTATACCAAACAGGTAATTTCAGCATGCATTCTCTAATCCGAACACAATTTGTACCTTACAAATGATTTTCTAAAGATTGATTAATACTGTGGAACTTATAAATTGGGATAATGAGCAGTTTTGAATTATTGAGACAATGTAACTTTATATTCATAATCAGCTGGCAATACAATGAGGCATACTCCAGAAAACCTTAGTCATTGGTGTCCTAGTATTACCTATAAATTATCAATTGTTTCAGTGAAAAAAAGAAAACTAATTTCAAGACAACAGGGCACTTCATAGTGTATTAATACTGACAGAAACAACATAGGTCGTCGAATCACCTCTTGTTCTTCTCCTATGTTGACGTTAATATATACTGACTTTTTATGCTCCTAGGCATTTATTAGTCATGAATTCAACAAAATCTTTCCAGTGACTCAGCGAATGATAGAAGTAGAGATCGAGTATATCATATTATCTGTCTGTCTGTTTTCGACATAGAACTTTGCACAAATGTGCGGAAGTTCAAGTCGCCACATTCCGTGTAGCACGCGAAGCAAGAGAAGAAAGTACAAGAAAAGCATAGTAGAAACAGTGAGCAGAGGTCTGAGACAAAGGAGTAATAAAGAAATACAAAACAGTTTCATTGAAGATCATAAGTCACAGGGAGTGGATGCATCTGCGCCACTGAGAACGATTTTGAGCCATGTCACCAATTGTTTCCAACCATAGATTTTTACCGTCCCGAGGACCCCAGCCTGGAAGTCTACACCTTTCTACGTGGCTTAGACCAACTGTTGTGGATTTCATTGACTGATGCCAAGTTTTTGTTTGACCGCCGCTAGCTTTTTTCCAGCCTGACCCTATATCCGCTAACATTGCTCGTCGAGGGAGGCGATGGCTTGGCATACGTAACACATGTCCTAACCATCTCAGTCTTTGTAACTTCACGACTTCGTCGATTGATTTCCCCTGTTTACCTAGAACTCTACGCCTAATATCATATTAGGAAATCTCTAACCAGTGGAATTTACTAAAGATATATTGTTCTTTTTTTTTAAAAAAAACTACAGAAACGGATACTAGGATATCAGTTTATGGGTCTTCTTTTATAAAAAAAATCATGGCTTTACGCGAGTTTAAAGCTGAGATTAAAATATGGATTTATTAGTCATCTGAGCTCAAGGAAAAATTGTCTGTTCGTTTACAACTACTTGAATCCAACTCATAGTTACTTAATAAATCATGTGTATTTTTGCCTTTAGATTAAAAACTGCAACTATGACTACACTACAGGATGGTGTAAGTGTTTAAAAAAATGTCAAATATTCTGAAGACTGAAGAATATATAATCTCTTGACTCTTAGATATGGAATAAAAAGAATTACTCTTCAAGTAAGCGCTTCAGAAAACGAAAAATAAAGATAGGTGAAACTGTGACAAGCGCGGTTTATTCAATTATGACTTAGATAATCAAAAAAATTACTTCATAAATCTGAAAAAGTCTATGTAGTGAATTTTTATCTCAGAGATAAATGTTAGCACGCAGCTAACCAATTAAAAGTGGACACGCATTCTGGATGGGATCAGTTGTCATCATCTCAGATGAAGACCGGACATATGTATTCATCCAGAAGTGTTGGTGTAAAAAGAGACTCAGGTACTGACATGGAAAGATTCCGATTATATATCTGATTCATGGAGTATATTGTTTGTTATATCCACTGATATACAATAAAATTCTAATCAACGCAATAAATTTCTAAAAATTTTCCGTCCAACGTCTTAAGTATCGGTTCTCACAGTTTAGAAAGGTTTCATATCTTCGAGATTAATTTTTACCAAGTATCACCTTTTTTTCTAGTTAACCATCTATTTTGTCGTGTATCTGCAGTCAACTGATATTGTATCTGAAAGGCATGTAAACTCAACATTTTCTAGTAGAAAAAACGGTCAACTAAATAATGTGAAGTCTGCTGAAGAAAGCCACACACTGTATTTTTGGAGTCGATTGAAAGCAGAAATCCCCTAAAGTTGCGTGCTTATTCACACTTATCAGAACATGTTTACAGTATTGAGAAAGCCTATCATTAATTAGAAGTTTAAAGTCACAAATTTTTGCTATTTAAGTTAAGGATCTTTTATTGATTTAAGCTCACTTAAAATAATTTTAACAGTATAAATTTTCAATATTTATAGAAATTAGTTAGTTAAGCAGATTTTTCATGTTCCAGGCTATGAAACATACCCAGTGAGACATGATGATACCATAAACTTTTTCACGCTGACATAGGTGAGAGTGAGTGCTTAAGCCGCTGGACACACATCTCCGCTAAGATTATGTATGAATCAACCAATATAAGGCCGACTGTCATAAGCGCGTCGACCAACTGATAGTTAACAATGTAACAAGTGTCTAGTTCTAGGCATGTTGATTATAATCTAGCAATCAGTCAGTCATACCACTTACTTGAATGACAGATTGTGAGCAACGACAACACATTTTAGACAACTACATAATTATTAAATAGAAATTCTCGTGGATAGCTGTTTCAGACAGAGATGAATTCAACTGGAGTATTTTGCAGAATACTTCAGTGCATAGTTTTGCTCACAGGTTTATTTATTATATCCGTCTTAGTACCTAAAAACAAAGAGATTGAATTACTTATGATTAAAATTGTAGCTACTATGGTTACTCATTCTATTGTTTATAGTTTATCACAGTGTTAATATGTGTGAATCGTTTTCCAGACACTGTCCATCACAGTGAATTTAAAAGAATTATAACTATAATAGAAGAACATAGCAATATTATTAAACGTAATAAATTCAGACCAGTCCTTTATTTTGTAATACTGGTAGTGTGTGTTTGCAACGAGAATTTAGTTCTCAACCGTTATTTTCAGTAGTACTTCCAATCACAATCAACTTGAAAATGAATTAAAATTATATACAGTTAGAGAGGAGTCGTTACACCTAGTGATACTATCCAGACATCCTGACCTCGGTAGGTAGAACCTGTTTGACTGGTCCGTAGTTAACCAACAAAACAGTGAGACACAGTTCCATAAGAAACTGGGTGGCATGAGATGAAAGTTAAAAGATACCATTCATTGGTTGGAGGATCTGATTTCATCATGAACTGACATCAGTTAGAGATCCATTCAAAAACTTGAGAGTATTGAACAGCTGTTCCGTCCTAGTTTGGGACTTTTCATCGGTACGCACACACCGGGGTTCAAACCCAGGACATTCTGGTTATAAGGCGAGCTCGTAGACCGTTAAGCAGACACTGGGACCCAATCCAATGGACAGTCCATGAATTTTAACTTCTGTCGATTCATGACAAAGCGCAACCACTTCGCAATGTCTTCTTCGATGAGTTACTGCCTCACCTTCAACTTGCTGTTCCCTACTGGTTACGGCTTCTCACAAGAACCCTAGGTCTCTGCCTGAATAGGGCCAGTTGTTGGTGAGCTGTCCAGTACTCCCAGGTTTTTCAATGGTTTTCTAACTGATGTCAGCTCATGATGAAATCCTACAAGTAATCAGACAAAGTCCCTACAACACCAATACTTACATATATGAATTCCTGTTGTAAATGTCATGTCAGGTGTCTGACAGAGTTTTTCTACCATGCACACACACACACGTATACATTAATCAAAATATTCGATTCAGTCGTTTGGATTTTTCAACTTTTTAAAATAGGCGACACATAATACACCATGACTTGGTCCAGTCATGCGAGACATGATTAGAATGATGTATCCTCATTGTTTTTACAGTGGTTGAAAGTTGTTCGAGCAAATCAGTCAGTGACACCACCAGTTAATGGATATAATGAATCTGGTTTACAACTTTCAAAAAGGGATTTATGTATGCTTGACGATACGCACAGACGTACACAACATATTCGCAAACCAAAATTTGTTAATATTAAAAAAAAAGACAAAACCATTATTATTGCATAAATATAATATTTTCTATCAAACAGGTTGCGTTTTTTTTCTTAAAATTTATTTCAACAATAATTTTTTTCTTCTTAAATATACTTTGGATGAAATCAACTATGAAAATGAAAGGTGAATGAATACAATTGATCAAATGGAAACCAAGAGGTTAAAATTTAAAAGATAAAAGTATAAACAAAGGGGAAATAATGACGACAGTGAATGAACACATCCCACAAGGAAATACAGAACATTGTAGAGTCTAAGTGTTTGTGCACGTATGTATGTATGTATGCATGTTTGTAAGAGGGAAGTCGGAGAGTCGAGATAACTTTATCCAATCAGTTCTGCTGCTGTTGTTTGTCTTCTATTTTTTTCACTTCACTATAATACAAAATCTAAATGTATGATTGATTAGAAGAAATTATGACTAGAACAAAACATGATAATTAAATAAGGCAAAGTACCGTAAAATATAAAACAAAACAAAAGAAAGTCGTAATGCTGGTTAAGTAAATGCTGATAAGGTGAGCATCAACAACAAAGGAGGACTGTAGTAGATAAATAGTCGAAAAGAGAGAACTAACCATATATATATATATATATATATATATATATATATATATATATATATATATATATATATATATGAATGAATAGATAAGTATATACGTTTGTGTTTTAACACTGAAACTGTAATTATCATTATTATTCTTGATATTGTTATCAATAACAACATATGAACACTAATGGTAACAAAATGAATAAACAAGATGGAATGCATTTTTCTCAGGGCAAATCGTTATTGCACATGTAAATTATACGAACAATTAATTTTAAGAGAAAAGAGTAAAAGATAATCTGGACAGCGCCTATTAGATGGAATGCCATCGAGAAACAATGAAACTTTATATATATATATATATATATATATATATATATATGATATCACATGGGGGTAAGGGGTACAGATGTACAACACAAAACTGGGAACAAATCTAAAGGATTGAACAATTCTTGCAAAAATGATCTGCAGCAGAAACAATTAATTTACTTCATTTTTATTTCTGTTGGAGACTAAATGCAATGAATGAGGCTGCCTACATCACTATTGTTGGCACAAACGCCAGATGAGAAAAGAAATCAGTATACCGTAAAATAAATTACAGTTATGTATGTGTATGTTTATATATGAGCAAGACGTCTTACTTCATATTATTAAAAATTGGTTAACTAAATTATATAATAATAATAAATATTAGTATCACTATCATGGTCATAATTATCAGCGATATTTTATACAACATGAAGAAAAAAAAAGGAAACTACACATTCAGACAGAAGAAAGTAGACAAACACAGATAAACAATAAATTGCACAGTGTGTTAATTTGAGCAGACCTACACTTCAACAACAAACTCTGGATTAACAAAAGAAAATCCGCTAAATTCCGTTTGAGTTAAATTCATTACAAATAGTTTATCCGTTGGTGTTAATTCTGGTGTAACTTTTGTGAATTCACTATCGAAATTACTTGTATCACGTGGTGAACACTAGAAGACAAAAAAAAAGAAAATGGGAAAGTGAAAAAAGACGGTGGAATCATTCAATTAAATGGGAATTAAGCGAGAGAAAAAAAGGCTTTTATTTTAAGGATTATGATACTACTTACTGGACATAGAAGGAGAACAAAATTACAACGACAAAATACGAAAATTAATCTTGGTGAATAAAGTAATTGTACAATCTGAAAATTTCGTATCCCAATCAGCTCACCTTTTCTACGCATAAATTTCAACTCATCATTATGAGCAATCAATTGTGCTCAAAACGTGGCATTTAGACAAACCAACTTATTAAGAAATAAAAACTTTGACAGCCTAAGGATGCAATATTTGCGACTGGGGAAAATAATATAATTTACCAAAAACCATGTGATGCAAGTGAAACCAATTACCTAAGTCTAACTAGCAGACTTGGGTACGTTAGGCTATGGAAATTTAGTTAATTCTAGAATAATTAACAGTGCCACTTTAAATAATCTATGAAAAAGAGCTCAGCCATCGCAGTCCGTTCACTTGCATGTAGTCAAATAATACGGTGGAGTAGGGGAGAAGTATTAAAAAGTGGTGTAATTACATAGAGAGAGGGGTTAATCATCAACTCTTTGTAAATCGACATCAACAAGAAACACGTGCACCCAAAATGACGGCAGTACATATTCCGAATATCTGCAAAATCACAATGAAAAGCAGAAGAAAGTGATGCCATTTGAAATAGGTTCAGAAGCAATGTGAACGTTTTGATTGGATTATTAGTAATATATAGTCGTGCTGGAAACCTCAACTAATTATCAGAACTGTATCACTCTGTGTTATATCAAATAAACACACAATTTATTTGGAATCATATAAACCGAAGTAAAACAAAAACAGCGTTCACTTTTCTAACTGAATGAACATCTACGGATACTGAGATTTCTTGTTTTTACATAAAGCCATTTCAATTGGTGCAGTGAGATAGCTTAGAGGAGGCGAGGATTTATTAGACACTTTTCACAAACAAAAGATGAGTCGGAATTCAATGTTCAATTAAAAAAAAAAATTTTCATTAACGAAATTTGGCGTAGAAAAACAAAGTAAGTTTCTGCTAACAGTTTTTACATTTGAAACTATAAACCCGATAAAAGATACATGTTTTAACGAAATTAATTTCAGATTCACTTTATTCACATTAAGTTTTAATGTATGTCTTTTTGTTTGTTTTTTTCTTAGGCGCTAAATATAAACTGAAAATATCCATTTAGATAATGGGTGAATTTTATATCTATTAGATGATTTTAAAAAGAACAAATAATTTCTTTAGTGATGACTGATAAGGTTTAGGCTTCAAAATCTGATGTAGGCATAAAACACCGAAAAAATTCCAAAGTATAATGAAACAGACATCCATTGCTGCTTCAGGTTCTGATTTCTCTTTAGATTATGTCAATTTATGATGAAATTTTGTCAAGAATTCATATAATCCCTACACACACACACATACGCTAAATACGCTAGCCGATGCATGTCAGAACCAAAGGTAACTGAAAACCAAGTATTATTTCAAGTCGAACTGTGACTCCACTTTAGTGTTTTTGCATACATTGTAGCAGATTTAAGCATTTCTATTGACATTCCAATATATATATATATATTTCACTATAAGCACAATGAAGTCTGAAGTATGGGATCCTGTCTTGATCTAAAATATTCAGTTATCTAAAGAGCAGTTGTTGGAGAATTCTTTTTCACTCAAAGTATTTAATTGTCAGTTTTCCGTTGATAGCGGACTATCGCATGTTATATCGACTGTGGGATTTTCGGCTTCGGAAAACACCTCTTACAAGATTAAATAAATTTTAATTTGACCTGTTTACTGGTGTAATATATAATGAGTAATATTGAGGTTAGGAGTAGCACTAATTAAGGTTGTGAAGCTGCATTGATCGACATGGCTCGGAAACTTGATACGCAATGCTAAGCTACTGTCGTCTTCCTCGATGAATAATATTAGCTGATATAAAGTTAGGTAGCAAAAATGTCAGAGGTGGTCAAATCAAAATCTAAAATTTTTCTATTTGGTCCTTGAATGTTGTTTTGAGACATATAGGATGAGGTAGATTGAATGGATGGGAACATGATGATATTAAGAACCGGTGGGTAGAGGCTAATGGTAACATGACTGGAGATTGTTCTCTATGGATCAGATGCACTCAATCTTTGTAATGTCTTAGGTCTATTAAGTTCTCGTGCCTTTATTCTTTTGAATATTTTTCTGTATCGTTTAAGGGTATCTGGAGAATGGCAATTTGAACAGGTGGAATTCTGTGC